TTGCCGTGTGTGGATGAGGCTAACTCGTGTGCAGGGCTTATAAGGAGGAGTTCGGCGACAACTTTACGAGTGCGATCCCGACCAATGTGTTTGGACCACATGATAATTTGTGAGTAGTATGAAAATGCGTATATAGCTTAGGCTGATTCCTCGTAGCCAATTGGAAGATGCGCATGTTATACCCGCGTTGATCCACAAGTGCTACCTCGCAAAGCGTACGTGCAGCCCCTTAATTTACTTAAAACTCCCGCTCACACCACGCGTGCAGAGAACAAAACCCCCTTCGTGGTGGCGGGGTCCGGGAAGCCGCTCCGGCAATTCATCTACTCGTATGACTTGGCGAAGCTGTTCATCTGGATGTTGCGGTCGTATGACGACGTGACGCCGCTGATCCTGTCGGTGGGAGAGGACGAGGAGGTGTCGATCAAGCAGGTGGCGGACGCGATTGTGAAGGCGGTCGGGTTCAAGGGCGAGTATACATTTGACACGACGCGGGCGGACGGGCAGTTCAGGAAGCCGGCATCGAATGGGAAACTGATGGGATTGGTCGGGGACTTTAAGTTTACGCCGTTTGAGGATGCGCTGGACAACACGGTGGCATGGTTCGTGGCGAATTATGAGAACGCGCGGAAGTAGATACGAATAGAATTATTTTATCTTATTTTCCGAAACCGGCATGGGGTTGACGCGGGAGACCGAATGCCGGGAGAATCGATACTGACAAATTGAGCATCCAACCACGTGGCGCCTCTTTTTTCTGTCGTCCACCATGGTCTCTGCCCTTTGGAAAGCCTGCGCCGACGGCGACGCTGCGAAAGTCGACGAGTATCTTGCCGATGCTACCAGTGTCGACATTGAGATCAAAGGTGAGCGAGCCCCATTTGTGCTGCATCCCCCGCTGACATTCGCAGACCATACCGGCGGGACTCCCCTCATCCAGGCGATCAAGGGCGGGCATCTGCTCATCGTCAAGGCTCTCCTCGCAAAGGGCGCAGACCCCAACAACGCCTCCTCCCAAGGCAGGCCGGAGACCTACACCACCGACCCCGAGATCCTCCACGAGCTCGCGACTGCCCGTGGCGACCTCCATCCCTACCCAGAGCCCGCCTACTATGCTCCCTACAACCCCTATGCCTACGCCGCGTACCCTGAGCAGTGGTATCCGCCGCCGCCTCCTCCCCAGCCCACCCAGGACGCCGAACCGCAGCCAGGGCAAAACCCGACTCCGCCAGCGAATTTGCCTCCGCCAGAGGTAGCGCGGAATATTCCTTGCAGGTGCGTGAATGATTTCCATCCCACGTGTCTATGCTAACGAGTGCGTAGATACTGGCCCGCCTGCCGCTACGGTTCTGCTTGTGTCTTCCTCCACCCGCCGCAGCCGGCCCCTTATTACGGTCCGCCTCCCCCAGGCTTCGCCCCTCCCCCCAACCCCACAAGTCCTACCTCTGCCCACCCCAACCCTTACGAGGCTGCAGGGTTCTACTATGCCCCGTACCCGCCCCCGGCGACGTCCCCGACCCACATGCGCTCCCAGAGCGAGGTCATGCATTCACCCACCCTGAACGGCCACCCCAACGGCGTCCCCCAGCCCAACGGTGCCCCGAATCAAGGCCCCGCCCCCGGCTCCTTCAGCCCGTCCCAGCTACCCGTCCCCGTCCCGCTCCCCTTAATGGCGTATATGCCAGGCCCGCACCCGCCGCCGCCTCCGCCGCCCATGTCGCCGTCCTCAGGATATCACCCGCAACTGGGCCCGCACGGCCCGCCGATGATGTATGGCCCCCCTCCGCCGCCACCTGGCAGCTCCATGGACGAGTTCGGCAACGTGACGATGCCGGTGGGGATGAACATCGGTGCGCCTATTGGGATGGGCCCGATGGGGATGCGCATACGGAGAGGGAGCGTGAAGGAGAATGGCAACGGGAACGGGAACGGCCACCACCATAATGGACGCTACGGGACCAACTCGAAGAAGCCGGCGTGTCTGTTCTTCCCCAGCGGGAGGTGTCGGAACGGCGACGAGTGTCGTTTCCCGCATGTCCTCCCTGCGCCGGGCGAGCAGCCGGGCAACGGCGACGTCGTCAACGGCAACGGCAGCGCCGTGAATGGGAAGATGAATGGCCACGGGCACCACCATAACGGCGGACGCTGGGCCGGCCGCGGGCGGGGGTTCTACAACAATAATAACCGTGAGCGGCACGTCCAAGGCGCACAAGGCGGCTCCGGACAGAGCCAGAGCCCGCAAAACGCAGAAGAGAACGGGGTGAACGGATTGGAGGAGAAGCTGGCTGCTGTGAAGATCAACGGCGAGGGTGCTAATGCGTCTGCGCCTGGGTCGACGAACGGCAAGCCCTTCACAAAACACCACCACAAGTCGCATTCGCACAATGGTAATGGCGCGGCGCACCCCCAACAACACCACCAGTCCTCGCAGCCGCAGCGCATCCCCTCGTTGGATGATTTCCCGTCTTTGGGCGCCGCGGCGCCTGCGACGATATCGCGCGCGTCGACGAACGGGACGACGACGCCCACGCATTTCGGCGGAGGCGCGGGCGCACATGTCTTGACGGGGTGGGCGAACGCGGTGAACGGCACAGGGCCGACTGCGGCGCAGATTTTGAGGGAGGGGAGCAGGGTCGGGAGTCCGAGTCCTAAAGGGTGGGCTGTGAAGAATGGGAGTGCGGGTGGGGAGAAGAGTGTCGGTGGGGGGAGCGAGAAGGGGGATAAAAATGTCAGTGTTGGTGCGACGACGGCTGCTGCTGTTGTGAGTGGTGAAAATATCGCGGCGGTGCCAGTGGCGGGGAAGACGCCGGCTGTGGTTGTGGCGTAGGCGGGGCGTGAGGCGGGGTTGAGGTGCGGGGTGGGGTGTGAGGGGCTGTGAGGACTATGTTCATATTGTGCGTTGTTATGGAGGGAGCGAGGTTTTGGAGGGCGAAAAAAAATGGAGGGTATGCGTCTGTCTCCTCCTTGAGGGTTATGTATGGTGATGTTGATGTTATCTATCTATGGTCTCGTCGGTCGTCGGTCGTCGTCCCCACCATGCGTATGCGATTTTTGGTTCTGCCTCTCGGTCCCTTGTTCATTGTCCTTTGCGTTATTGGTTTTGGGTCTTGGTTTGGCTTTGAGGTCCCTCGCTATCTCTGTTCCATAGATACGGCTTCTTTTTTTCTTCCCCTTTTCCTTCTTTTTCTGGGCTTTTTTTTCTTCACCTCATTTTTTTGGGATATTCTTTCCATTTCCTTCCCCACCCCATCCTATTTCCGCTAGATTTTTCTTTCGGTGTACATGCTTTATTCTTCATTCTCGCCCATTCATTCGGCTTTTTGTTTCTGCTGCATTTCGCATCCATCACATCTTCATCACCATACATATATACTTCCCGCCCTCTTTCCTTCTTCTTTTCTCCCTCTCCTTTACACTCCCTCCCATCCCATCCCTCCCAAAAGCAGCTGCCTTGCACCCCATCCCATTTTCTCCGTCCCCTTCATCTCATCTGCTATTTTCCATCCCATCCTATTCCGCCATGTTTTTCGCCCCTTCTTCCTTTTTCTTTTCTTCCTTTTTCTTTTCTTTCCCTCTTGCTATAACATCTGCCTCAGGCATAGCTCCAAACACACACACACACACACACACACCCTATGGTCTTCTTCCCGCTTTATCTCTCATTTTCCCATCTTTATCGTCAGTCAGTCATATTCATTCATTATTTACACTCAGACAGAAAGAAAAAAACACAACGCCCACTTCGAAAAAAAAGCTGCAATCTCCCCCCCCATTGACAGGTGGCCGCCGCCAGTCCTCCATATATGCATATCATACTTGCTCCTTCCTCCTTATTTTATCTCTTCATCTCCGGCTCCGGTTCCGTTCATTTCATTTACGTATGGCCTTCATTTCCGTCTTCCATTCCATTTTCTATTATCTCTATGTATGTGTCGATCTATTTCCACTCTCACCCCCGCCTCCATCTCCTTCCGTTAATGGGTTCCCATCGACATTCTCGGTCTCATTGCCTTTCTTTCTTTTGTTGCATATTTTTCGTCATTTCTGAATCGTTCTTGTGCCGCCTCTCGCGTTGTTTGTGATTTCACTCTAATCACTCCCGGGCCCTCTACCGTTTTATTTGCTCACTCTGTACTCTGTCAGTGTTCCAGGTCTGACAGAGTTGTTGTTGTTTTACATACGTCGATGTATACGTATATTTTGATTCATGTGTTTATTTGAGCTTCTTTGGTACGAATTTCAAGTTGGTAAAAATTCCTAATTCATAAGTTAATAAAAGTCATGGGTTCTCGATGCGAGTAAGCTTTCGTTCAGGATCCGATTATACTTAGCTAGATGGATGGATGGATGGATGGATATACACTGCCGTCAATCGATATGTTTATTTAGAACAGATGCCAGTCTCTAAGGGTTTACGGCGCGAGATACCCTCTGGATCGAGAAGCGGGACTAGATCCGCGGCCGACACTCCTGGCTAGTTATTTCTTTCTTTCTTTCCCCGTGCCGTGTCGGTGCGCACAGTCTCCTCAGCTCAGGGAATAAGACGCATTTGAAGCCACCCCGCGATATTCTCCGATCCGAGCGACGAGAAATTTCTATGAAGAAGAATTGTCTGCCTATGGCTTTGTTCGTCTCCGCCGGCATGCATGCGCCCGTTCACGCTCGCGGTTACTAGGTCGCCTACTGCAATGACATGCCTCGTGTTGTTGATCCTGCGTGGGGTGGAAATTCTTAGAACTGGTTTGAAACGTTCGGTTGAGCCAGGGATGAGTAACGGTCAGCCAGGGTGACGGAATTAATAGTACGAACTTCGCTATATGTGGGCCACTGCAGGCCTAGTGAATCCTCGAGATTGGCCTTTGCATGGGGTTCCCTTCATGCCATAGCGCAAATATAGACTTGGAAAAATAAATAAAAGGGCAACAGCATCTTTATAATATTTAGAGGGAAATGCAGTCTGTCAAGGTAGACATACACCAGCAGAATGTGAGCTAAAAAGGAGGTCTTACCCGGATTCGAACCGGGGTCACGAGAATATTGAATGCTTAACACTCAGAATCTCATGGGCTAACCACTACCCCATAAAACCAATGAAGATCAGTTAGATTGATGCTTTTGCGACCCAGCGTTGTATTATTATTCTTTCTTATAGTCCCGCCTCAGTACGTATACTACACCATCACCCATCCTCGATGTTGAAAGCGCTCCACCTGGATACGCTCAAACCTACATTCAAATAGTAAGAGGATGGCTGAGATAGCAGTGGACACTTCCAGAAGCACTGTGGTGCTCATGGTAATCGGCGTCTTGGGATAGAAGGCGCAAACCCACTGATTACCGCCCCAGTGGTAAAGATCGGAGATTTGGTCCCTCTCCAGCAATGTCTCCGTACGGCAGAGCTTCGTAGAAACGACATGAATATCTGATAAATTTTAACAAATAATTTTAGAAAATCGTACAGATAAAGCTCTACCTACTATGTTCATAATGGCAGCTACCTGTTGAAGGAAACGCAGCAGAGCGAACGACCTGATTTGGACTTTGGTATAAATTATCCTAGGCAATTATGATAAGTGAAACTGTTTAAGAAATAACGAAGAGTGTCTACCCTTCTCGGAGAAAGGCATAAATCACGCCCACGCTTGCCACGACTAGGGTGCCTATTTGCAGCCCTTTCATGATCTCATTTGCATTGATATTTACTGGACAACCATCTTTTATGCATTTGAGTGATATGAGGGAGATAAATAAGTAAGAACTGAAGAGACGTACCCTTAGTGGGATCATGATTGGGAGGAACTACTGGTGTAACAAAGTTATAAGCCATCACCGCACAAATAATCGTGAAGACACAAGAGCCACCCTATGTAGCGGACATGAAAAGAGATAAGCGAAAGGTTTTCGAAAAGCTCCTTACCAAGACTCTGCCAAAATTCTTGGAGTTCATCCCAAACAGGGTGTATCTCAGCAAGGTTAGATACGAGTCGTCAACGTCGATTATAGAATCGGATTTCAATATCACTGCTGGCATGGTCTGAAAATGAAAGAAATAAAACGTTCGAGCTCAGGTTGTGGGCAAAAAGAAAGGGGCTTGAATCAGCTGCATACCGGTGGCTTATGCTTAATAGCGGATATAGTGTTTTGCCCCTTTACGACGGGTGAATGAATTAGATGCACCCAATTGAGCGATGGATCTTACCACAATAATCGGCGAAAAATAGAAATAAAATCAAGATCTAGTCAGGTAATCTTGATAATTTGAAGCCAATCGTTAACAAAATTCTCTGTTGAGGACACATGGACTTTTCATAGATATATGTAGAAGACATTAAAGAAATAATAAATAGAACAAATAGCACAACAAATTTAGACTCACGTACTTATCGTGTATGAGCTTGCAGTGTGCACTGGTATTACACAGCACCCACCGTCGCAATACCTATCCTTTCAAGTTTAAATATTCGAGACGAGTACAGCTTATTTCATGATTTTTTTCTAAGTTAGTATTTCTGAAGGGAAATTATAATGAGAAGATATACGTTTTACAGCCGCATTGACATCCTCGTCGTGATCACCGGAAAGAGAACTCCCGGAACATGCTTTCAACGTAGCCTCAGCAAAGTAATACTGGCCACCGCGAATAAAGCAATGGTCATCACGAAGCATAAATTCTGAGGAAACATTTCATGGGATTATAAGCGTAGGATGCGACGAGATGCCCCACGAGTAGACCTACCAGTGGGCCCCTGGCCAACGCCCAGGTGTTCCAGTTTTAGTAACTTAGGACCGAAAAAAAAACTCGCAAAAATCCCGTGGTCTGGATCAAAATTACCGATGTATATTGAAAGCCATAAAGGAGTCTGTATAAGTACTAATACTGAGATATGATAGTACTTACTGCATGTTGACTCGGATTTATATCAAAGATCCCGGCGATAATTACATAACCCTAGCTCATATCGTAATTGGATTGCTTTCTGAGTGCTTTAAGTATGAGTTCTATTCGGATAAATGATATAGTAAGACTTGCCCATAGATTCTCTATATGGTTCGATAAGGTCATGCAAAGCGGAAGGGAAAGAAGGTGGACCAGCGCTTAAAGGCGGCCTCCTATTGGATCGCCTACTAATCACAATAGCTACCACAGAACAAAAGCCCGGGATATTGAGTTACTTTTCTAGATTCAGCCCTTTAAAACACTGCACAGAAGCCATACTTATGTCCGATTATCCGCGTCGAAGTATAAAAAGGGATCAAGAGGGGCCCACTGCGTACTCTGGCCCCAGTTCCTACGAAGTCGTTGAACGACCTAGTTCACTTTCTTGCTCTAATTCTCGATCTCAGTCTTAACAACACCTCTCTTTACACTGTCAATCCTTCAACAACTATGAAGTACACTCTTTGCTTCATTGCTCTGGTAGCAAACCTCGTTCCTTTGGTCATGGGCCACGGATGGGTCGCCCAGCTTGTCATCGATGGCAAATCCTACCCAGGCAATGATCCATTCATTCCGCAAAACGCTGTCCCAAGTCCTATCCGTCTCGTAAACTCGAGTGACCCCGTCAGGGGTGCCCAGAACCCATTCATGGGATGCGGTCTCCAAGCAAAGCCCGCTGCACTCATCGCTGATGCTAATCCTGGAAGCAAGGTCGACTTCCACTGGCTTACTGATATCCCAGATAAACTTGTAAGTTTTTATTATTTTTTGGAGGGAATATATTCTTAACTGAATTTCCGACCTTCTGTAGTGGATCCATATGATTGGTCCAGCCATCACATATATGGCGAAATGCGATACTTCCTGTGATACATTCAACTCTAACAATGCGAAATGGTTCAAGGTAGACCAACAAGCTCAACCTAATCCCGGAAATCTTTCACATTGGATTGCTGAAGACGTCCGTGAGTATCCTCTTTCCTTCTTCGATTTATTCACAATTACTTAATTGAAATTAATTCGTCAGATAATGGAGCCCCAGTTACGGTCACATTACCTAAAAATGTGGCTCCTGGAGGATATCTCCTTCGCCACGAATTAATAGGTCTCCATAGTCCTTTACCCGGTGGATTGGGGCCCGAGTACTATCCCAGCTGTTCCCAAATCAATATCGCTTCCAACAGCAATCCTACTGTCAATCCTTCGCAAACCGTCAGCTTCCCTGGTGCATACACTGGAAATGAACCCGGAATCACATTAAACGTAAGCTACATTATTGACAGTCGCTATGTGCACATGATTTATCCACATTTCCCTCTAGGTTTTCGTCAATCCTGACATCAAACCGTATAATTTTCCGGGTCCAGCTCTTTCCAATGTCGTCAATGGCAGTGGTGCTGTTTCAGCTAGTACTGGCAGTATTACTGTTCCAGCTAATACTGGCAGTGCCACTACTGTCTCCGCTAAGACTAGTAGTTCTGTTGTTCCGCCTACGACTAGCACTGCCGCTTCTCCAACTAAGACTACTAGTGCTGTTGTCCCGGCTAAGTCTAAATGTACTGCTCCTAAACGCCGAGGTCTTCGCTCTCGCGGATCCAAGCACAGACAATTCGCTGCTGGACGCAAATAATCATCTGTTCACACGAATTTCGTCATAATTTCTTTCCCCTATTTTAGCATTCTGTAGACTGTAACTATACAATTTGATCAAAGTCCGTGTTACTTGGTAAATAATACTAATAATCATATCCGTACCTATCAGGTAAATAGAAGTTTTGTCTCTACATCTCTCCCAGGCTCAATCATCATTCTATGACCTGCATCTCTATTACCCACCCGATATACTTCTCCTTGCGGTACCTAATTCAGATCTCCCATTAACCGCCAGCTGGACCCCTTTATAATTTCTTCTGCCGTTAGTGACCCATTAAGCCTGTGCTTTCAAATGTTATCGAGGCATCTTTCTTGATATTCACGAGTCCCTCAAATGAGGAACTTCTATAATCAAGATGCATCTTGACATCACCCTTTGCAATGTGTTGGGCAAATATATTCTTTTTGGGAGAATTGATGTTAGATAAGATTAAGTGAACCACCTTGGAATATGGTTGAGATAAGTAGTCCGAGGGAATATTTCTGAATCGAATTCCTCATCGTCGCCCGAGGCAGGCATCACACGAAGTTCAGCGACGGAAGCCCCAGCCAGAATCTGTACAAGGCATGCATGTAAGAAAGATAGAGAACCTGTAAGATCCATGTCCTGTCCGGAAAACAAAATTGATCGCGATATCAAATTTGGAGATGCGATAACTTTACTGCGAGAATGAGAGGATCCGGATTACTCTTTATGGGCAGTTGATGGGAAAAGGTTTAGAACAAAAGCACGCAGATCCAAGGAAGCCCGTTCGTCAAATTGCACATGGGCAGTAGAATAAGAGTCTATCGAGACTGAATCGATATACCGGGGAACTCGAATGGTGGCACCGATGGGAGTATACATGGTATACGGGAAGACCTTGAATGAACGTAGATGCTGTGCCTTTTTCTTCTGAGGTGTTCAGATTGAAGAGTCGGTATCGTTTCTCTTTCACTGAAAGCCAATAGGAGTCGAGTCGTCGATTGGGCAGGTACTAAGTATATCTGTCCTCAATGTTAGTTAGTGACTGCGTTGGGTGAAGAAGAAGATGATGACTTACAATCTAGACTCGTAGATACGTACTCCATGAGACTAGTGTATATCTCATGCTACTAATCCCGAGACTCAGTTCCTTCGACCACAATATATATGATGTGTTCCAGTTGTATGGCCCACTTAGCACAGTGGTAGTGCGTGTCACTTGTATTCACTACATGACAAGGTCGTTCGTTCAATCCGGGCAGTGGGCATTATTTTTGATGCGAACGGGACCCGAGAGTATTATTTTGCCGCATGTCTTCTGAAGCTTGGCGTGTTTCTCCTTTCAACATTCATTAATTGTTAATTAAAATTTAGGTGTCGAGGATAAGGATTCTTAGAGGGCCTCAACGAACCCATTTCGAAACTTTAACTTCAACTTCAGCTCCCGCCGTCACCTTATCCACTCCAGCCCCTTCATCTACTACCGCGATTTCCACGACCGTTCCCATTGCGACTGTGTCAACCGTCCAACCCATCAGCACCCCGGAAGGCTAAGCGTGAAGATGAAGCTCGTACAGCACAAGCTCTTCTCCCTGACTCTGAAGCCTAGCGTATCCCATATGTGTAATAACTCGGTATAGCTTCAATCTGAAGTCGTGGAGCAAGAAGATGCTCGGATGACGACGGAACAACTGAAGGAACTTGCAGAGGCTCTCTCCATTCTCTCTGCTCGATCTAGCGTCATGAAAGAACGGGCTGAGTTGCGTGTGCTCATGGAAGAAAACCTTAGTGCGGGGGAGGTACGTATCATCTTCTACAATGTATCGAATCTCCTTTTAATCTTTTGGTAGGACCCCAAGTCCCCGACAACACCCTTGGCTAAACGTATCCGGACTATGTTCACTAAAATCGATGCTCAAATATCAGCATATGACGAACGGGTTGGATCCTCATTATAGATGATCACCTGTGATCATCAAGGCCGTATATCTGTTAGCGATTTAGAGCGTGCTTTATCTGTCATTATGCATAGGCCGGATGAAGAAGTCTCACAAGCAATCGTCAGAAGCTTGACGTTGACCAAGATGGATACGTTCGATTAGACCATGTCTTGGATCTCGTCAAGGAGAAGGGCTTAGTAAGTTTCCTGTTTTAAAGTTTCGAAGAGATTTACTAAGACCAAATCTAGGTATTATTTTAGATGAAGAGGCTCAAAACATTATCGGACAAGGTCGGGAGCTCATCAATGTTTCTAGAGATGCACCACGGAAGGAAGACATTGTACAAGACTAGATTGTTTGAAATATAATACTGGATCATTAATATATCATAGATGTATAATCGCTGTGACCCTTTAACTTAAGAATTAGAAAACGAATGAACGTAGAACGCTTTCTTTTGGCTTAGTAGGCACCTTTGAAATACCTCAACTTCCCGGCTCCGGCTGTTCGGCGCCTTGAATTTCGACCATGTCAGGATGCGGCCTCAGGCTGGTATAAAATCTGCGGCACTCGAAGTGTTCAAATTTGGTCTATATCTGCTCGTATCATTTGCTGCGATGGCGACAATTATGGACTCAGACTAGTGCAAGCAGGTTGTCGTTCCGGTGCGTTGTCCTTCGAATATCATGCTGCTACGGAATTCTGAGTCGGTGATTTCTGCACTATAGAGCACATTTGATTCCCAAGGAAGAGGAAACATACATATGCTATATCATTCTGAGAGTTTGATTTATGGATAAGACTGAAAAATCTGTCCAGGAACCTCCCAAGACTTATTCCGAAGTCGTTGCTGAATTGGACCGAATAAAAGCGCGCCGTCGAAAGCTTCCGCTCAAAGAAGATGGTGCAGCATCTGAGAATACCTCTCGGAGCGAGTCGGAATTTCTAACGAAGCTTGTTTAGCTATTCGTGGTTGTATATTTACTGCATAAACTCTGTGAGTCCTCCATCTTCCCCGCCAGACAGGCATTTAATAAGATCGTGTTATTGGATATAGTGTATTCGATTGGTATCTATTCTAAAGAGCCTCTATTTCTGTATTTCTACTTGTTTACCCTCAATCCACACTCCCCATGGACCAGAATGCAACTCAACCATATTTTGATACTTCTTCATATCGTCCAGTGATATCTTGCTTCCACCGCAAACGATAAATACTACAGTCCTCCGTCTACCCTCAGCCTTCGGAGGAAGGAGTGTTTCGAATACGGTTCGTCTGTAAGCAGGCACGAGGGTGGTTGAACATGCCAATTCTACGAGGAACTTATGATCATCTGAGATGATATGTGTATTAGCACATGCCATTGTGTGAAAGCGCAAGTACAAACCTGCAAATGACAATGCCGTCTGCATGCTTAACCCATCGGGGACCAAGACGCACGATACACCGCCTTCCCTTTGCAAAGCCATTTTAACGACTCCGGGCGCGGGGCTTGCGGCTCCTAAGGAAGAGGCTACAGAATCGATTGATGGTAATCGGATAATCTCTACACCATTCCCTTCGTCGTGAAACGTCGTCATTCCTTCTCGGAAAGGAGGTGCTGGTGAATCGGAAAGCAGAGGTGTTCTATTTGCTTGCATGGAATGATAGAAGCAGTCGGCACCGATCGTTTCCAAAGCCACGATGGGAACTTGTCCAAGTATGAGTGAGAAATTTCGTACAATCCAGGGAGCTTACCGTCGTCCCATCCCGTCTGTTGACAGCCCACCACGATACCCCCCAGCAGTCCTCCTCCACCAACACTGCAGAATATGGCATCGGGTTTCACATTGAGGTCCTCTGAGAGTTCATGAACCATGGAGGCATGTCCTTGCCATATATTGGGGTCGTCTGTAATCAAATATGAGCAATTCTTATATCATTTCGGAGCAGCATGTGCGCCGCACCATATGCAGAGACTTCGATGCTAATTAAGTTTTATTTTCGCATTCTTAAAACATAGCAAATTGTTTTCTTCATACCTGCTTTTATCGACGGCAGCCGCTGCTCGAGCCTTGAGAAGTATTTCATAGTAATCCTTTCCACCAACAATTAAATTCGCTCCTTCGCGCCTAAGACCATCCAAGAATCGTGGATTCAGCCCAGATGGTAGATAGACAGTGCATTTGGCATCAACTGCATGCGCAGCGCAAGCTGCCGCAAAGCCTGCGTTACCTGCAGAGGCTATGATCAGATGTGCATTCGCTGATTTTGCCTTGGCAATTTGGGCTACATTAGACATGCCCCGGTATTTGAACGATTGAGAAGGTTGGAGATTCTGAACAATCATAGAAAAATTATGGCAACTTGCAATAATCCGGATTATGGACGTACATCAAGCTTTAAGTAGACATCGCAATCTAGCCCTTCCGATAAGATTTGTGAGTATATTAACGGGGTGTGCACCCAAAGAGGTTTGGTCATTGTCTAGTCTATAAATGAGGAGACCGTGGTATGTTAGAGGAAAAGAGGACCTTTATAATGATGCTTGCAAGAAGAATATTAATATTTGCCGGCTGCTCTTGGGCTGCTCTTGGGCTGCTTCTTCCGCGGCGCTTCTCGGAAGGCTTTGCTTTATATTCCCTTCAGCTACATTAGTCATAATTTAAGTGTTGGCTGATGGAGTCAGCAGTCAGGAGGACCGGTGCAATAGATAACTGTAATACTTGAAAAAATAATCAAGAATTTTTCTGGTTAGTCATAAATTCAATTAATTCCCCAGACTCCAAAGTCATGTGAGAATCAGCTGATCGAGGTAAATCATGAACTATGGGAGCTACGGGAGTCATAAGCTGTCCTGCCGGAGGACATGACTGTTATTTTCGAAATAATTATTCAAGAATCCTGTCTAAGAGTCATAAATTCAAGAATCACATTGGATTAAGGTTTAGTTAGATATTGTACTTATGTATATTTAAGGTTTATGTAATATTTCTAGTCATCGCAGAATATATATGACTCGCAGAAAAATTGTAGTGTCAAGTATATAATAAACATTAAAAAGTGTATCTATCGAAGGTGTGAGATCGAAAATTGTGTGACTTCCTAATCGGGCTGAGTTCGTAGAAATTAGAAGTTACGACTAACTAATAATAATAACTAATAATAACTAATAACTAATGAAAAGGGTCTGCTCCTCTGTTGATTGCACTAATCATCAGGAAACATGGTAAAAACGGGCGCCTAATGGCTCGGTAACGAAATTTGGTTATTCCTTTGGAACGACACAGGGACATCTTAACTTTTTTTTGAGAACCTGGTTTATATGATCTATAATCCTCTCATGACAAATAACTGCGGCCGCCTATACAGTCTGCGTCGAGATATTGCCTGTGCAAATCTGCTATGGAAATGTACATAAACTATAGTCAGCTATCATGACTGTATAGGTGGCCCCAGTTATTTGTCATGAGAGGATTATAGATCATATAAACCAGGTTCTCAAAAAAAAGTTAAGATATCCCTGTGTCGTTCTAAAGGAATAACCAAATTTCGTTACCGAGCCATTAGGCGCCCGTTTTTACCATGTTTCCTGATGATGTCTATGGGTATATCTGACTCATTACCTATTTAACTTAGAGTGAGCATCTCTGTCCTCCCAATCTATCCGCTGATGAAGCCAAGGACTTCGCGGTTGTTCCAGATCCATCTAGCCATGGGATGAACGGTGAGTAGTATCGAAGGTCGAGAAAGGTATAAACATATAACAATGTTCTAAGGGGCCTATCGCTGTGTCATTTCCACCTTATGTTTCTCCTATCTACAAAGACACTCTAGACAGTTTAGATGGGCTTGGACTTCCCCGTAACCCTGAGAGTGTATGCATTTTTATTGGTTACATCGTGTGCGTGTCACTTGTATTCACTGCATGACAAGGTCGTTCGTTCAATCCGGGCAGTGGGCAATCTTTTTGATGCGAACGGGACCGAGGGTATTATCTTGCCGCGTGTCCTCTGAAGCTTGGGGAGGACGGAAGGGAACGTTGAATGGCGAACTGAAGAAAAAACGACGTGATCCTGAAAAAGAAAACTTGAATCTGGAAGCATTCTCCGCTACAAAATGGAGCCCTTAGATGAAAGAATGGAAGCCAAAATACTCTTACGTCGCTCAACTTGAAAGTATAGCATTTGACTGGCTCGGAGCAGCTATGTCTCTCAGCTTGAAGTATAATTATTGACAGACTCGGAACGGCTTTACTGTCCTTCTGGTCACCGATGCTTCAAAAGACGGATTGGACAGTGCCGATTGAGCTTCATATCTCACTGGAAATGGTTTCAATATAAGTTGT